ACTACAACACCACTGTATTACCTCCTCTAGCTTTAGTTCATATGTTTCTGATCATTGTTATTTCATGCTTCCTTACATATTTTTAGTTGTTTGATAATACATATTATCATTAAGTCAAAATATAACTCTCTTGTACCTGGAACTTAAACACGTTCTTCCTAAGAGCTTGTCATTTAGTAAACACATTTCTGTTCCATGGTGAGAATACTAAGAGGGATGCTTAGTCCCTCTTTTGACAAACCATTCCATTTTTGCATTTCCGTTACTGCTGTTAAACAAGATCTGTTCCTTCCTGTGATGCTTTGTCTCCTACTTCTTGCCATTGTAATTAACTTGACACACGAGAGCTAATTCTCTCATCAACTGTATGTAGCAGGGTTTGTGTAGATTCAAACTTACAGTAATGTATGAAGAAGGATCTTCCCATATCTTGTTCTTGTTATGCTTTGAAAATATTTTTACTAATACTCAAGTACTTCAACAACAATGGGGACACAGACCTGATTTTGTGACAGGTCTAAACATAACTGCACTGGATTTCTACCATGTTTTTTTTGAAGTTAACAAATTCTATAATTTATGTTAATTTTTGTCGTTTTCTACATGTATATCGCTTCTGTAGATGGTATGTCTTTCTCGTTATATGGCACTCTACATCCTCAATATTAGTGATACTCAGTTTATTGATGAAAATTTACCCTCTTTAAGGTCACAAGCTTTAACCAGGGGGGTAAATCTTCAGTTTCATTTTGAATACAAAAACTCTCATGTCAGCATTTTCAAGATGGCTGCCATGCCTGTGACATGTGATCAGGTCAACAGCATTGTGCCTTCTTATTGGGTGCTTCCTCATGTTGAGGACAAAGGTCAAGGTTAGTGAAGTAGAACTCTATAACTGATACTGTGACTAACGATGTATTTGCATCATGTCGGACCCAATCTCAATACTAATTATGCCTCTTGCCTGCCCATCGGTCTAGACCAGCCAAAGTCCCACGAATGGTTCTTCTCTCAGACGTGTTTCCATGGCAACTGCTCACCTGCCTCTTAAGATAAGAGCAGGCATATTACGAGAGTGCCAACATCATCAAAGTGTCAACACACCACATGGCAGCCACCTTGTCTTTTCTCTGTATTCAAAATGTCTTTTTTGTCCCTGCTTCTGTTTGAAGCAATGTATACATATTATTCCAAGTAATTTACTTAAGTTATTCCCACCATAGTATGCCAGTATCCATGTTGTGCCATTTAGCCAGAAAGATGACTGTTTTCCAAGTTTTCAGCATAATACACTGTGAAAGTTTTCCATTGTTTGGACCAGTTTACTGTCGGCCATTTCAGGTGACTCTTGCGATCACATTCCACAACACCCGTGTAGGCTATGAACAAACTGCTACAGTCCCACCACTGGTAGCCAACTCCTGCCAAATTCACTTCCTAGAGTTGTAAGTTGCCATGACAAAAGAAGTGGTTACTGCAGAGGAATATGGAACTATTTTGCGTAAACTTTGCATCAAAAAAATATAAATTTCTTTCAAATTTACATGAACACTTCAACTGTGTAAATAGTTTTAACTTTGCGTTTTTCAAAGCATATATTGTGATTTGCAACATTTTGAGATGAAGATCTCTTTTAAAAATCATTTTCACAGCTTTACGTCTTAAGGTCACAGTTGCAGAAAAACCACCATTATTCCACATCATGGCCATTTTCAGACATTGTGTTACCATGGTAACCCGCTTCCATTTGTTCTCTAGCATTTGTCTATTAGCCAACACAAAGGTGAACACATGACAGAACTATTTCCACCATTTTGCAATTTTCTCAAGTTTCAACCCGAAAAACGTCAGTAATTAACAAATTTTTTTCCACTATACAATATATTGTTGTAAGTGGACTGAGTTTTTGTTTCATTTGGAGCCAAGAGGAAATTGGTAAATGTTAGAAATTATCTGTGGTATTATTGCAGCCTGAAGCCTTAACCACTCCAGAAGATTATCATCAGGAGTTGTTTATTGTTATAAAACAGGTGCTTAATCTAATACAAAAATCTGTGCAAATTGACTTTAATGTTTGATTTTTGGCGAATTTATTCATATGTTAATTAGGTTAGATTTTGAAATTAATATTGTACTGCTGTCAAATGGCTATGACCATTTGGTATTGTATCGGCATGGCGATGTCAGCCAATTTGTTGTATGCTAAAGTCAGTAACCCCATGTACAAGCATGTGTGGGCGTGGCCATTGCCGGCTGTAATACCGATCATTGATATGCATTATTTTTACCAGTTTGTGTTTTGTCATTTCATAAATAAAGGTTTAACATGCCGAGGTAGTAGTTACTTTATTTTTCCCCACTTAGTAAAACTTCACCTTGAAAATTAACCTTTGTACTTTTAACACAGAACCTTCCATTTACAACCCTAATTTCAAATTAAATGGTAACGGGGTTTGGGAACATCTCTTTAACAGAAATATTAATTTCAAACTTGATGTGTCCAGTTTCATTTGGTACACAACTGGAGAATGCAATTGGAAGGTGTGTTAGCACTGCAGGGGTTAAGTGTGTGTTACGCCCATGGATCTCATGCGATGAGACTTCATATCATAACAAAGCATTACTATTGTCGTCATTATCCTACGTTTGTTAAGAGTGTAACTGAATGGTATTCAATAAAGTATTTTGTTGCTTCAGAGATGTGTTATTATATTTTGAACTATTGCAATAACTTGAAAAGAAGGAATTGCTTCTTTCACTTAAAGCATGCATGCAGCAGGTTTTCTTTGTCAAGATTACCTGATACCCTATGATTGATTGTTGGATTTTTTGTTTAACACCACACTTTGCAATATTTCAGCAATATGGTGGCAGTCTGTAAATAATCGAGTCTGGACCAGAAAATCCAGTGATCAACATCATGAGCATTGATCTAGGCAGTTGGGATAGATGAGGTGTCAACCAAGTCAGCGAGCCTGACCACCCGATCCCGTTAGTCACCTCTTACGACAAGCGGGTTACTGAAGATCAATTCTAACCAGGATCTTCACAGGCTTCATACACAATTAGGGACTGGGCGTTTGATATCATGCTTAGTTACCACAAGGCATGTAGTTCCTGCACATGTACACAAGACATATAGATCACCTCATTTGATCAGTAAATGTCTCAAGTTCCAAGTTATTTGCTTCAACACAGGAAGAACGCATTTACATTTAAGCTATCAGTTCTCACTAAACCAATATCTGCTCTCATGATGAAATATTAACACATAGTGCTACAGCACCTAAATTTACTTGGAAATGTGGCAAACAAATGTTAAAAGCCACATAACAAATAGCTGTGCTCGTCGTTAGTGCTATCTAAATGTTTTCTGCATCAAACCACAAAATAGAGATTTGGAAAAGGGATTTCAGAAGCTATGGACTATAAGATTGTTGCCATATGCAGTTTAGTACATTTATTTGACACAAAATTTCAACCTCTTTGGCTCTATATACATTCTGAAGGGAATAATTTTCAAATGCCATACAAGATTGCCAGTTGTTTCAGTTCAAAACATTTCTCATCATGATCAAAAGAAGTAATAGACCTAACCAACATTTTGGATTTGTGTCTGGCAATGTCATGGGAGACCATCATGGCCAGATCAGATGTGGTTGACCACATCCATGACCATCACATGTTATTACAGGACAAGCTGGAACAGGCAACTGCAGAGGATTTAATGAAAATCTGATTCAAACTTCAAGAACAAGTTGGTCGTCACTGAGGTGGATTAGTATGTCTGAACACTGACTTTGTGCTGGCGATAAGGTGCCTCACTCTGTGGGTTTGAATCCTGGCTTGGACTGTAATATACTGGACAAAATAAGTTAGGGATATTGGTATTTTTATGATCGATATTTTATCAGTGCGTCAATGAATAAATAGATCATTATTCATAAATTCAAAAATTACATATATCCCTAACTATTCCAGTATATAACTACTGATGTTGCAAGGCTCACTCAACACCCCTCAAAAGCATTTGCTTATGTCGAAGATCCGGGATCGATTCCCAACAAGGGAACAATGTGTGAGGCCAATTTCTGGTGTCCCCTACCATGATATTGCTGGAATATTGCTAAAAGCAGCATAAAGCTGAACTCACTCTCACTCAGCACCCCTCAAAGCTCATTCTGAACTGAAAGTTGGACATGAGTTTTACATGTCATTATACATGTATCACACTACTCACTCACACATATTGATTTCGTCAAATGCATGACACATATACAGCCAAGCCACACACTGTACCCATCCTAAACTCACTAAGTTGGTTCTTACTACAAGCTTGCAGCACTGGTAATCTATTCAGTCCGAAACTGGATCCACTACATCACTGAACTGTCGCTCACTGCAATGATCACAGTCATGGATGTCAAGACCACTAGCATGGACACAGTCTGCAGGCGGAGGTTCACAGAGCTCCGTTGTTCCATACTGCCAACACCTGGGGCACCGACGTGGCCCAGTAGGTTGTGTGGTCAATAGAATGGACGGTGGTTGAGTCTCATAGCTCAGGTTGTGAATCCACCTGGGCAGTGAGTTTAGTTTTACGCCGCTCTTAGCAATATTCCAGCAATATGATGGCCAGGGACACCAGAAATGGGCTTCACACACTGTACCCATTTGGAGAATCAAACCTGGGTCTTCGGTGACAAGCAAGGCTACCACTAGGCTACCCCACTGCCCCTGGGCAGTGAGATGACGTCTATCCATAAAGAGTACTACCCTGGGACCTACATCATAGATAACAGTACTCAAAAATTGGAAGTAAAATCACACTCAAGCTGTGTCAAATTGTAAAAGTATGTTTTTATTAAAGTACATACACTACCATTATCTTCCTGTCTAAATCTTATTCCAGCTTATCGTGGAATCATTTCCAGCATCACAAATTTGCTTACTGGTACATCTGTATATACCATGTACATAGAAACAAGATTGGGGTTTGAAAAATACTTTATTTACTGGTACAGAAAGTAATACCAATATTTAATCAGTAATGACATGCACAGATTTACAAAGTGTAAAATCATACCAATTCATTAGAGTCTTGCACTTTTGTAAATCAAGTGAAGCCTCTCTGCTAAAACAACATGTATGTATAACACTGACTGATTCAGAAGCAAATATGAGTGCGTGTGTGCTAAGTTACAAGCAAACTTTGAACATTTGTTCATTAAATACGGCATATCTCCAATACAATGATGCATAGTTTTCAAATTCACAAGCCTTCTTGGCTATACTTTAACACATTCATTGATATGCAATTTTAAATAATCAGATCCCAACATGTGGTTCAAACTTTTCAAGTTTGGAGTTAAGAAATGCAGATTTTTATCCCCCAAAGTCCTTGATGAACACGTGTGCATGAGCAGCAAGAGCAGAACGATGTCAATATGTGTAATTTCATCCCTAACAGTGTATATGAAATGTGTTCCATGAAATCCTTCTGTTACATGATCGCCAACACCCGTAATCTACCAGTGTCAAGTCTGTGAGGGTTGAGACTGATAAAGATTTGCTAGAGTTCGAGAGAATCTGTGTAGTGGGAAGCCCATGACATTAAAGTAGTCTCCTCTGATGCCCTCCACCAGTGTTCCACCAATAGCCTGGATTCCGTACCCTCCAGCCTTGTCCCTGCAAATACAAAATATGGGAAGGGAATGACATGTGGTTCACAACCCTTTGAGATGTTTTCAGTCATTGTTTCATTGGAATTCTAGAAGTTGGTGAGTCAATAATGAAGCATACGACTTTATCGATAAGAATCTTCACCGAAATGTCACTCTATGCAATAAACAAGAAGTTGTTATCCATAAAGTTGTATGCTTCATTATTTCAGTGACTTCATGGCATGCCAGCTTACTGTGGTTGAAATTACAGGTCCTAGGCTTCAGTAAAACACACTATCAGTTTGATGTTGACAATTTGATGCTGACAGACAGAATTTGCTGACAGGGAAAATATTCCATACAAACCCAGGAACCTGTAGTACTAAAGGATGATAATCTATAGATGAAACCAAAAATACATATAAGACCAGTCCACCTGTGTCGCAGACATTTGATCACAGATTGGCATACATGTAGTTATACATGCAGACTCTAACAGCAGATGACTCATGGGATAGAAACCATTGCACATCAGGGCTTACATGTCTATTTTGTGATATGATCAGACCTTTATTCAATCTTCCAAATTTCTGGTTAAATCTAACAACAAAACTGCTAAAAGCAACAAAAGTTATGAGCTATCAACAATGTTTGAGACACCATTCCTCAGTCTTACATTTGATTAAAATGAAAACAAAACAAAAGGGGTTTAACAATACTCTGACCAGCTAGATAAATACAAGTTAAAGTTGATCTTGTTCACTACTGTATTATGTGGGTCCACATGATAAGAGTCCAAAATAAGGGTTTCAAATATTCTTGAAAACTACATGTACAAATTAACTGCTCCAACTTTGGGCTGGAAAACTGTCAATTTCCACAATAGTAACACCCACAATTCGGTATTTATTTTGCTGTGCTGTGAACTCACATTGGTTCTCCGGTCTCAATGTACATCCTGACAACCTCTTCACTCATGTCAGTCATCATCACATCGGTGCCTTCATGGAACAGGGTCAGTCTGAACTTGCCATCCTTCGTTAACTCACCACTTGTAATTACTGCAACAAAACAAAGAACACTCTTCAGCTTTTCGTCTCAAGAGAACAAAACTTTACATCACATCAGTCTCAGCTTGACAAATGTACCAGACCACTATGAGTGATAAAACTTCCATGGCAATAGCTCTTTCTGGTATTTTGAAGAAGTCCCATTTCAAACTGTTTTGGGTGCCATGCACTTGAGGTATTCAAAAAGGCTCTAAATCTAAACACCTGATGAGTTCTTAAATATGCTCAGTTTCTCAGGGACAGAAAATTTATTGTGTCCTGATAAAAACTTTGACATATTTCATCACCTCTCATGAAGCAAACATTATCTGACAGCTGCCATCAAGCAGCTTGACAAATGTGGACAATCTCAAGATAGAAGCAAAACACCTGGACAAAGGGATGCAACTCCGCACAACTAATACAATACACAATATTTTCTGCAATGATACATGAATATCAATATTAAAATACTTACTGCTCATTAAATGACACTGCCATTCCCATATCAATCAGTCAAATATCATAAAATATGACTGGTGGACTACCTCACAAAAGAACAGGGCTCCTTTCACGAAGCAACCTTTTCTGAGGTTAACCTTAACTCCCATTCTTTGACATTGCACTAATATAGTGACTTACGATCACCTTAGTGCTTTGTGAAAGTAGGCCCAGGCCATTAATGACCAAAATTATGCAAAACTGTTTCAGCAACTGTGTTAGAATATCAACACCAAACACTATCAGAAACTCCCTCAAGCTGTCATTCCACCAGTACAATGACCTGTGTACAAGTCTGTTATCGCCATGACTACAATGCATGAGTTTGGCTTTGAACTCAGTGTATATTCAGTGCAAATATTCACTACATTCTGCACTGTCAGATTTATACCTCTTCTTGTCGGAGGTCTGAAGATGACATTACTGCTCTAACAAATGTTATATTCGTGACTATACTTTCTCAGTAAACTGCATCCGGACTTTCATGCTCACCGTGATAATGTACTCAAATTTGACCATATTTGACCATATAACATTTGACCATATTCTGTGTATTCTTCGTTTCTGCTGTGGATGACTTTCATCCCTCAAGACAGTGGAAACCTGTAAAGATCCGGGTTAGAATTGATCTTCAGTAATCCATGCTTGTCGTAAGTGGCGACTAATGGAATTGGGTGGTTAGACTCGCTGACTTGGTGTCGACACATGTCATTGTATCGCACTTGCATAGATCAATGCTCATCACTGGATTGTCTGCTCCTGACTTGATTATATACAGACCGCCACCATACAGCTGGAATATTGCAGAGTGCAGCATAAAACTAAACTCACTCACTCTAGATGGTGGAATCCACTCCTGCATCATTTGGAAACAAGTGTATGGACCTTGGAGGGATTTTGTTGAAAAACAGTTAGCGACCATTGCTAACAATTCAGTCCATCATTAATAGGATTATTCAGCAATCCCTCACACATATTTTCATACCTTCTACGATGAGATCACAACAGTATTGATAAATCAACTTACCTGAAGACTGTGAAGGCGACACAAGAGCAATTCCAGAGTAGACAGTGTGAGGTCGCCCACTGAGGCTGTAACAAGGTACCAAACATAGACTTTAGTATGATTATCTTTCAGACACATAAATATTTTACACAATTTGAAAAAAGACCAGATTTTAAGTGAGTATGGTTTTACACAATATCATGTCAGGGAACATCAGAAATGGGCTTTACACACTGTACTCATGTGGGGAATCAAACCCAGGTCGTCAGCTTGACAAGCGGACACTTAAACCATTGGGCTACCCCACCAGATTTTGAAGCTATCAGACAAAACATAGACTTTGTCAAACTGTATCTCTTGACCTGATTATTCGTATGTCATTTTCATTGCTTGCCATTCCAGATAGATTAGGATTGAAAATTTCCACACATTACCTTGTTATCATCTTGAAAGCATCATCACGACTTTTAGGCTTCTCATAAATTGTGTTGTCCATGGAAACAACAGTGTCAGCTCCAATCACCAGGTCTGGAACAATCTGTAGGTGGAGAACACAGAACTTAATAACAAACTGACAACAGCCATTTGCATTACATGGCAAACACAGTGGAGGTCAGATGGACACACTGGTGGGAATGAAAATAGCGTAGGAATTGATGACCACATTAGGAATCAACTTGAAAATGTTTTTCGTATGTGTCCAATTGTTGCTGAGAAATTTAACACTAACTACACCTAAATTCAATTCATAGATAGTGTTATTTTATTTCTGAACAAAGCATTCACAATTTTCAGTATTTGATGGGTAGGTATACATCACCCCATCACTGTCACTTTATGGTGTGCATACAGTCACTGTTTTAACCATTGAATTCAGAAAGCGCAAGTGCTCCGTTCTACAAAGTGAACATACACTAAGACTACCCTAAGACAGTGTTAAAGTATGGGAGATATGGCTACATTAGCACTAAGACTGGCTGACTAAATTTGGTTTTATGTTCCAGCAACATCACGGTGGGGGACACCAGAAATGGGCTTCACACATTGTACCCATGTGGGGATTCGAACCCGGGTTTTCGACGTGACGAGCCAACGCTTTAACCACTAGGCTACCCCACCGCCCCCTTAGCACTAAGGTCGTTTTCTGGAAAGGGGCTCCGGTTAAGAAGAGGGAAATCAGTGTGTACCAAGACAGATGAGTGCTCAGTTTTGATCACACAAATATCAATACATGTATTTGTAGCTTCACAAATAGTGCATCACATGCTCCAGATTTGTGATATCTGCTCAATATAATGCTATGCAATTGTCTTGTGCACACAAAGTTGGGCTCATTTGCCTTATGACAGTTAAACACGGTCTCATTCAGTTACCTGACTGAAAACAGACAGTTACATAGTGGAATGCATGTTAGCAAAATGTTTTGACAGGTGATGGAGGAATTTAGTTTAGACATATGGTCCTTGTTTAATGCTGCACTCACCAATATTCCAGCTATATGGGATATTACAGATCTACTCTTCCACACAGACAAAAATATTAACAATTTCCAGACCTAAAATGGAAAGGGTTAACAGAACCTAATCCTGGCACATTATGCTTAAACATATATTTCCTTCTGGTACTAGTGGTAGTGAGTGAGTGGCTGTATGATTCATGTAAGTCATTATCTGAGAAGCATATGTTAGTTGTATGCCTATCTGTACAGTTGTTCTTACTCAATTACAGAACTCACACACATTAAAACAAGCTGATTGGTTGGATTTATGAAATTCTAGAAGCTGGTGTTTTTCATTTGTTACAAGATGAAAATCCTCACATTGTTTAATTAAGTCTCCATGCCATGCCCAGGAGACTATTTTCTATCATTGACTTTCATATTCACTTCATTGAATGAGTTTGGCTTCATGTCACCTTAGCAATACTGGGGTACTGTGACGAATTGTACCTTGGCCTTCAGCATGATGTGTGAACACTTTAACCACTTGGCTTAAACCAACCAACCAACTCACTTTCAATTGAATATGAATAAGAACATATTTGCAGGTAGCCTCTTAACTTGTTTGCCAAAGTGGAATCAGGTTAGCTTTAATCACCAAAGACCTGGGTTGAATTCCCACATGGGTAAAATGTGTGAAGCCCAATTTCTGGTGTCCCCACCTTACACTTCTTTGTTATGGCTAGAATATTGCTAAATGTGGCGTAAACCAAACTCATTCACTTTCAATTGATGGAAAATGAATATGAATAAGAACATATTTGCGTACCTGAGAAATTTCAGCAAGCTCTTAACTTGTTTGCCAATACTATTAGGAATCAGCTGCTTATTCTAAATCATCACCTTATCACCAGCCAACCTGTTTGCAACGTCCAGTGCTTTAATTCTTGCATTCTCTTTGACATAATCACTTGGGTGTGGAAACAAACTTTTATCCAGATCCTCTTCAAATGTTGAAGGCACGGCTTCAAATTGTAACCCCTAAATGAGAAAAGGTGTAAAATATCTCTTAAGGCAGTCAAAATTGCAACTTATACCGACAATAAAGGTTTCAACTTCTTCACTGTATTGTTTTGACTTTCATTATAGAATTGTCAAGTAACAAGTATCTTCCATTTATTGACAAGACTATCCAGGGTATATGTTAAATAAGCTTGTATAATATATATAATAACAATCAATATTATCTGTCATCTCCCAAATACAGCTCAGCAGCAAAGATTTAACACGAAAAATCAAGATATATTCATTCATCCATATATTTCATTTCATCATTCTCCGCAACATTGACAAAAACGGCTCTAGCATTGATCAAGAGAGTACGGTTAATTGACATGACATTATTTTACAATATTTTGTAAGATCTGCTTCCTCCGAGGGGATCCTGATGCGAGAATAATCCTTTGAACGTTCAAAACGTGCATAATCGGTTGTAACATCGTGAACGGACTCTTCTAGTAGCAGCCGACAATAACCATGTGCAACGTCTGTTTACTTCAGTTCTCGTTTGAGATCATGTGACCCTCACTTCCGGTTAATGACTTTCTGACCATTTTCTCAGTTTATATCTATTAGCGTGCTTATGTTACCAAAATGATATTTTTACAACATGTCTACTGATCATGTAACACATTGGATTATGTTATGCATAGTTGCATGTATCCAGGACAGTTCAAATAAAGTAACAACTGACGTGAAATAACGAGACGTCCGCTTATCTTTTCAAAATGGTGGTCGGCGAAGATCGTGGGAATTTATGACATAACACTTGCGGTAGGTACTCGTTTTACGTTTTGCATTATTCATAATACACATGCACTTACAAAGAACACGCATATGGTTCGTGGGTCTTAAATTCATGAAATGCTTGACGACTGTTTGGATCTATCATGTTGTCAGCTGACATCAGTTCATGCAGTTTGGACTGTCCCAGTGATATATCGGTCATGACCTCCGTTTACCTTTTATTAGAAACAGGTAATATTTTCACCCTTTTTCATTATATGTATGTGTCAGCTAAAGGAAAGATTTCCTCCCGATTTCTAAAAAGATTCGGATGTCAGAACCTAACCCTACCATTTCAAGCGGGGTTACAGGTTGAACTGTTAGTGTTACCCAATGTAAATTGTATATGGTGTACTTTCCCGTATGTTTCACTGTGCAATTATTCTCAGGTATTGTCCACAATTTACACGATTACGATCTGGCAGTCAGCCACAGTTTTTATTTTTCATTTAGCATTAGGCAACAGATTTTGCATTTGCCAACAAATATTTTTGACAGTTTAAGAAGGAATGTGCCTTTCAGGTGTAATCCATGCCTCCTGGTGTCAGTCTGAGTACCCTTCCTTCACTGACATCAAGAAGAGAAAACAGGAACAGTCATGAGCAAGTTTGATTATATGTATCGACGTCTCCTCCTCACCAAGTTCTTCACAAAAGGATGGGGAAAACCGGAAAATCTCAAAAGGTTTGTGTGTATTAGAAGATGCACTAAATCCCTCTTGCCTGACCAAGGCTCAAGTGTGCCTCCCACCCTTTGGTGTTGACCATGTTGACTGGCAAGTGTTCGTTTGTTGTGTAATGGCAGCATTGCTGGTACTGTAGGTACAATGTGTAGATCACAATATTGATTAAAAACAGTGTGATTTTAAAGTTAAACAAACAAAAACCTAATGTCATTGCATAAGCCCAATGATGTTGAGAGTTTCCAGTAGTTGTATACCAGCCGGACGGCAATATTTTGCAAGCACCAGTTTGAAATATTTTTCTTTTTTTCACTAATAGGCTCATATTAATTTGTATTACGGGCTGCTGAGGTGTTATGTTTTTTGTATTTTGTAATTTTTTAAATTTACATATATATTTTTGTCATTCAGTAATTTGCACCATTACATAGAAAAGTGTTTTATTAGGATTTTATTTTTCGAAGCGGTAATAATGCATTACACGTCAGTCGTGTTTGTGCCGGTTCGGTCAATGCATTCTATTTATTAGGACTAATTCAAGGGGTTAGGGTTGGGGTTGGGGTTGGGGACCTAATCCAATATAGAGGGTACATGTCCGGTGGTTCGGTCAATGCATTCTATTTATTATCCCCATAGCAACGCTTTTATGGGGTATTAAAATGGACTCCGTCCGCGGTGCATGCATGCGCGTCGCGTGAGTGCCGTCCGTCCGTGCACATTTGTCTTTTCCGGAGCAGAACTCTAAAACCGTTCAATATTTCTTCCCCAAACTTGGCACATACATGGATCTGGTGGTGTACTGGTGCCTTTTGGTAGTTTTGGAATTCTAAATTAAATATTTTTGGCATTTCCGTGGCAAAAAGGTCGACTTTGACTAAAATTGGTGGTAGTGCTCTTTTCCGGAGCAGAACTCTAAAACCGCTTCACTATTTCATCACCAAACTTGGCACATAGATAGATCTGGTGGTGTACTGGTGCCTTTGGTAGTTTTGGAATTCTGAATAAAATATGTTTACGCGTTTCCATGGCAACGAAGTTCGACTTTGACTGAAATTGGTGGTTGTGTTCTTTTCCGAGAAGAACTCTAAAACCGCTTAATATTTCTTCACCAAACTTGGCACATAGATAGATCTGGTGGTGTACTTGTGCCTTTTGGTTGTTTTGGAATTCTGAATAAAATATTTTTGGCATTTCCATGGCAACAAGTTTGACTTACACTGAAATTGGTGATAGTGCTTCTTTCTGGAGCAGAACTTTCAAAACCTTTCAATACTCTCCTTCCACTTTTCTATATACACACCTTTCTATATATGTCACCATTTGACATAATCATAACTCGTAGACATAATCATGAAGAGTATTTTGCCATTGCGGGGGATATGGATGACTTTGTCTTCTTGTTAGGATTATTTCAAGGGGTTAGGGTTAGGGCTGAGGGTTTAGGGTTAGGGTTAGGGTTAGGGTTAGGGACCTAATCCAATATAGTAGGTACATGTCCGGTGTAATACGTGAGTACCATTTGTTGTTGGTTTTTTTTGCATTTTCATGCTTTTTTTTTCATACAAAAACAGGAAACCAAAAGCATCGAAAGTACATTATGAAATGGGTTAATGTAGAAATTTTGGGCTAATGGAAATTTGCCTGGAATTTGCACTCAAGCCTCTTTCACACGCAACAGAAATTTTGTAAAGTAATGATTCGAAGGCTAACTCACCCTCGTGCCGTCACAACACATGCTCATGTCTCCCTCGTTCCTTAGTGCAATCCACATTATCCTTACAGTGTTCCCTAACTCACTTTTCTGTCACAAAATCACCGATTTATATAAATGCGCGTCATTCATGCATGCACCGTGAAATCTACGTCTGACGCCTGACGTCAAGAACCCTTTTTAGTTTGAGGCATATCAGCTCATTCCACACCACACATTAATTTGTAGATTAGGGATGGGACGAGTGTGCCAACTGGCATCGGATCCATTCGGCAATTGTCCGTAGAATAAAATCACGAGACACCAAGTCTACCTGTAGCATTCGTAGTTGTCCGTGACCTATTCGACTCTTTCCGTTCATTTCCGTGACGTCACAGGAATGACTCGATAAATTTGCACAATGTGCAACAGTGTGGACGTAGCTCAGTCGGTTAGCTGTCGAGCTAAAAATCCGAAGGTCGCGGGTTCGCGTCCGACGGGTTCTCACAAACTGGTTGCTTGTCTTAATGACACGTGACCTACGGCAGAGATCGTCCTCACGAGAAGTTGTGGTGCTGTATTCTAAAGGTGCTCCGAATTTCTTTATCTAAATTATACTTTACCATGTTTACATACAGCATATGTAGGGATTGATGACAGCACAGGCAGACACAATAGGTCAAATCAAACTATTCATTATCGACAAATGTTTAAAGTGAAATGACTAAAGTTTTGGGGAAAACAATGTTTATTACTGCTGTCACATTGACATTGATGTGATAGATGGACTTGGGTAATCAATGGTTGAAGAAGTATTGTCCAGTATGTTGTGATATTAAATTTAATTTCAAGATATCAAGAATTTAGCCATGTTATTAAAGGTTGTTACCTTGACAACCAATAATGTTCATCTTGAATTTATGAAAGTTTTTAAAATATTTTTTCAGATTGTTTGAGTTCAGAAAAATCATATCAAATCGGGAAACATGCAAACATCTTGTGCCAAACAACTACCCGGTTCATATTACTAAGGTAAGTATTGCTGAATTGCAGCAGTCTCTGTATTAATGGTAGGGTTTTGGAATCATATGATTCTGTGATTGTAAGGATCTTTGTTTCCACAAGTGCTGGGGATGTTTTTGGGCTGGTAGGGAAACCTAGTGGTTGGTTAAAGTGTTCGCTTGTCACACCAACAACTTGGGTTAGATTCCATACATGGGCACAATGTGTGAAGCCCATGTCTGGTGTCCTCTGCCGTGATATTGCTGGAATATTACTTAAAGCGACATAAAACTCACTCACTCACTCATGGTATTCTGTGATATGCAAGTGCAGGGTAGGTGTTTTTGTGTAAATGGGAATTTCATTAATAAATTATTTATAAAGGCAGGTTGATGTTGGTTCAGTCAGGCTAATGGGGAACTATGAACACTTGAATGATACAAATCAAAGGGTATTATTTGTCCTTATCCTGACTCATGCTAATTATGCTTGTCTGCTTCCTCTTGCCAATGATAGTGGAACACTTGAAATCCCTTGAAGTTCCCTTTAAAAAAGTGAACGTAAAATCACTCGCCCAGGAGTAGCGTCCCTTTCCTCCCTTTGGCGCCCAAATGGTCACATGATCGGCCATATTTGTCACTCTCTCCTTCTTCGCTCTTGAGGATGGTTGTGACAGCACCCGGGTCCCTATACGGCACATATCCTTTTATATTTTCGGATAGGAAAACTGGACGATGCTATCAAGACCCTACTCGACAAAGAGGCAGTAGAAGAGATAGATCAAGATCTCATCACGCCCGGGTTCTACTCCCCAATTTTCCTGGTACCAAAGAAGAATTCCAAGGAGAAAGTACGGCTCATCTACAACATGAGGAAGTTCAACCAGGAGTATCTACGCAGACCAGCAAAATTCAATATGATACATCTTCCTCAGCTCTGTTTGTCCAGCAGACTACCTCGCCAGCATAGATCTGTAAGATGCGTACCTCCACATCCCGATACATCCAGACTCAAGGAAATACCTACGTTTCCTTTTCAACGGACAGCACTTCCAGTGGAAGGTTCTACCATTTGGAATATCGTCGGCCCCCTGGTTGTTTACTCGAGTGACCAAGCCCATCGTCACATATCTACATCGTCAAGGTCTACGCAGTGCTTTCTTCCTGGACGATGGGATTCAAGCTCAAGATCCCAGTCAACTCAGACTGCAACTAAATTTCACCATCAGGCTGCTCACTCAACTAGGATGGCTAGTGAATCTCCTCAAGTCGGAGATGGAGCCAAAACAAGATCTGCAATTCCTAGGAATTCGACTCATCACACGTATGGTCGTTCCAGAGGATCGTTGGGTCAAAATACAACAGATGATATCTCAAGCATTGCTCTCTCCGTTGACACTACGTGCTAGGCAAAGCATGCTCGGTCTACTCACCTCAGCTCAAGACATGACTCGCAAAGGGAGATTACAGTTGCGCCCACTACAAGTCTTTGTGAACGCTAGACAGCCTAGATACGTTAATACTACCGGACAGATAGAAACCATATTTCCAATGGTGAACTCGGAAGTCGAACGTTTGCGGAGGGACCTTTTTGTCAGAGCCGGTTTGCAACACTCATCTGTACGTGGATGCCTCCCTACTAAGGAGGGCAGCAGGGAAGTGGTCGAGTCAGGATCAGAAATCACACATCAATCTGTTGGAGATGAAAGCAGTAATCAACGCTTTACAACATTGGTCCAGCATACTAAAAAACGCACGACTCATGGTACACACGGACAACTCCACAGTGGCGTTTTACATCAACAAACAAGGGTCAACAACATCAACAAGTCTGCTACAACTCAGCTTTCTCCTGTTCAGCATAGTCGACGACCTCAGCATCTACATGAAGGCATGCCACATTCTGGGAGCAAAGAATGTCATAGCAGACGCCCTATCTCGTCCACTACAACCATCCCCGACGGAATGGATGTTTCATCCAGAAGCATTCCAGTTCATCAGACAGAGTTTAGGATCCCCACTAATAGACCTGTTTGCTACAATGTTCAACAAACAGCTGTTCCAGCTACACGCGTGGAGCGTATTAAAGCTTGCCTGAAGACTAGAGGGTACACCGACCAGAGCAGCGAAAGCAGTAACACTAGCTCTACGCAGATCAACGCGCAACTTGTACGACAACAAGTGGCAGAGATTTGAACAATATGCAAAGAGGAAAGGCTTTGCAGCAGTGAAAGCAACACATCCTCAAGAGGCGGAATACTTATGTCATCTACAACAGACGAGACACTTAAAAGGTTCAACACTCTCAACGTACTTAGCTGTCTTCAGTACAGTTATCACCATGAAAACAGGTATCAAGCTGACCAAAGTACCAGAGATTCTGGCACTACTACGCTCATTCAAGTTGGAAGACCAACAAAAGAAATTTAAGGCACCTGCCTGGGATCTCAACATAGTTTTACAACATCTCACCAGTGATGCCTATGAGCCTCTAGAACGGACCTCCTTTGAACTACTAACTCAGAAAACGCTGTTCCTGATCGCGCTAGCAACAGCTTCAAGGATGTCAGAAATACATGCTCTAGACTTTGAACGAACACGATTTGAATCAAGACATCGTGACATCGTACATCTGGGACAGGATTTTATCGCCAAAAACCAACTGCCCAGCCAGCCTGACAGACAGTTCCACATCCCAGCACTATCTACAGTCCTTGGGCCACAGGATACGCAGGATATATCCTTATGCCCAGTCAGAGCACTTAAAGTCTACTTACAAAGAAATGGCACTCTGGATTTCCCTGTAAATCCGGGTGTCGAGCTTACATACGGAGAGAGTGACAAATATAGCCTATCATGTGACCATTTGGGAGCCAAAGGGAGGAAAGCAAGAAAATTACAATTTTTCCTTATCCTGACTCATGCTCTTTTGCTTGTCTTCTTCTTCTTCCGAACATAGTAGAACACTTGTATCTCCTTATTTGAAGCTCCCTTCAAAGTAAAATCACTAATTAGTACTCACCACGAGTTGCTCCCCTTTCCTCCCTTTTGGCGGGAACAGGTGTCTCCACCCTCTGGCCATGTGCCTCACTCTCTCCTTCTTCGCCCAGTGAGCAGGATGTGAGAGCGCCTCGTGTCTCCTTACACACCATATCCTTTGATATTTTCTTAGTTTTTACCTCTCTTAGGTTACTATAGAGGTATAGCTAGTATCCTTTACTAATTTGTATTGATTATTTATCGTTATTTCTACTGTTTATTCACGCAGTGTATTCGCGGATTGTTCAGCTAGCTTTACGCTGATGAAAATCTGTACTATTTGTAGATTACGCTTTTCTGCCTCTGATCCGCATGTAATATGCCCTAGTTGTTCTATGCTGTGTGCTTTGATTCACGCTTGCAGTTACTGCATTAATTTATCTCATTCTGCATTTAATAAATATCATCTTTGGCGCCTTAAGACGCTGCAGATAGGTCACGCGAAACAAGGGCAAAACATGGCCGATAGTCCAGATATTCCATCCAGTCAGCTGCTAGCGATCGACTTCTCCCGCCTGGTGTTCTGCTAGAGACCCCATCGGTAGAGGAACGTGGGACGCAGTCCGTTACCTCGAAGAAACGACCGGCCTCCCCAGACATCCCATCATCGCAGACCAAGTCCAAGAGGGTCTCAACATCTTCGCGAACGCAGACTTAGGACCCCAGGGCAGCGCGACTTCCAAAGGAAATCTACGAAGACAGCGAACTTTCAGCCGAGATCGCTCCAGCCGCAGAATTGGGCCTCTACGATGATCAGCCGATAATCATCCCCGACTTACGGCACAAGAAGCGACCGGTGTCAGCGACTGTGACTTCAGCAGAGATCACCATGCAGCCTGATGCCTCTACACTGACGTCGGACGTTATTGATGTGGACCCCACCATTAACACCGCGAGAGAAGGCGCTCGACGACTTCGCCACAGACCATCCCGGAGGACATGATGCGCAAATTATGACCATCATGGAGGACCGCTACAGACTGCAGAAGCAGGGACCGAAGCTTCGCTGGCTCCAACGTGACAGCACCCCAGAGGCACCCCCCCGGCCAACGTAGCAGCCAGGACGATGTCACCTTCGCTGGCGAAGTCCCGGACCACCTTGACGGCGGACCTAGATGCACAGCCTTCGCCTTCGCTAAGGCGGATAGATCATCACCATCTTCGATTTCGCCCCTAGATATGGACTCAGACCATCAGACGCCACGGAAGCCTTCGCTAAGGTCATATCACCGCCCTCGACCGACGCAAATGAAGCTTCTCTAGGAAGGCATTCGCGGCGACACATGAATCCAGATCTTCATCATCTAGAAGGACATCGAGGGACTATAGAAGAGCTTCGCTGGCTATCAACGCTCGCCTCACAAGTCTCCGAGAAGATCATCCTATAGACGATCTCCGCTTCGCTCATCACCATGTCGAGAGCACCTTTCAGGTCACCACATAGAGCTGCGCACAAGTCAACTAGATCGCCACAAGCATCACCGATCGAGACAGCTACACGCAGTCCCGAAGAGCATCAACAGTTCATTAATAATGATGGTATTGAGGATGATGGAGGAATCATTTTCTCCGATGCAGAGATACGGTATTGATGGTCAATAACCTAGATCTCTCATCACCATCTAAAAGTGGCAATACGGCGCAGACTTACTTGATGAAAGAAGACGATGCAGATGCGATCACACTACCCCCGATCGAATCTCGACGCGACAGTGCCACAGAATCTAGATGCAGCATTCCAGAAAGCTACTTAAAGTTCAGACACCACATCTGCCAAACTTTCATGCCAAGAAGTTCTCCACGCGATAACATGGACCCCTTCTACAAAGCCCAGGACATCGATGAGAACTATAAGATCATCAGCGATGTCAAGAACAAGATTTACAAGATGGATGATCGCAAGTTGGCTCATATAGAATGACGACGTATGTTCTTTGGGTTAAATAGATCTAGGACGATCAATGAGACTCTTATCACTAGATTTCGTGATACCATGGATGAAGATGATAGAATGATTTACTCTGCCTTACTTATGCAAAAGAAAGATCAGCAGTTCTTAACGGACCATCTTACATCTGTTTCAGCAGCACTGACCTTAGCTCGTCGTCAAGGCCTCCTCGCTTCCTGCAATTGGGGTGAGAACTTTACAGCCCCACTTTATACAGCCCCGTGGTCGACAACATCCATCTTTAACGGAGAAATAGACAAAGTCTCCAAGGAAGTCACTAAGGATTCCAGGGAAGTCCTTATGATAAAATCAATGGACACACTAGCCAGCGTCATTCGTCAGACTTCACAAAGATACTCAGGGAGATCTAAGTTCACGGGCCTACAAAGAGCAAGAGACAGGAAGATAGCCAGTTCTAGAGGTAAAGATTCTTTTCGTCGCCCATATGGCAACTATAGAGGAGGGTCAGGAAGAGGCAGGACACCCAGAGGTTCCCGCAACTATAAACGCTGAAACACAGGTTCGGAACGACTGGAGTCTTCCACCCCAGCCGCTCCAGTACAACCATCACAAGTGGGTGGACGCCTCCAACTACACTGGGAAAACTGGGGATATTGCAAGACCCTTTACGCCTCCAACATTCTTCAACACGGATTTCGTGATCCCATTACAGGCTGCCTCCGCTGACAATCAAACCCCAAGTTCGATTTACAAGCGCAACAACTACCAAAGTTAAGAGAGGCTGTTTCATCACTCCTAACCAAACAGGCCATAGAAGTAATAGATCAAGCAAACATCGAACCAGGTTTCTACTCCCCAGTTTTCCTAGTTCCCAAGAAAAACTCCAAGGAGAAATACAGACTCATCTACAACATGAGCTTTTTCAACAAGAATTATCTACGCCAAACCACCGGTTTCGCGATGATACATTTACCTCAGTTACGCCAGATGATTCATTCCTATGGACTACATGGGCAGCATAGATCTACAGGATGCCTACCTGCACATCCCTATTCATCCCGATTCCAGGAAATACCTACGGGGTTTACTCTAGAAGGGCTACATTACCAGTGGAAAGTACTCCCATTGAATATCATCAGCCCCTGGCTATTCAATGAGGATAACGAAAACCGATTATCACTCTTTCTACATCGTCAAGGGCTTGACGCGAGCGCGTTTACCTCGACGACGGGGATACAAGTAGATCAAGATCCACAGCATCTCAAACTACAGTTAAATTACATCATAAAGCTACTAACACAGCTAGGATGGTTAGTAAACTTACTCAAGTCGGACCTAGTACCATCGCAAGACCTGCAGTTCCTAGGTATTCGATTTATCACAAATCGCAACCGTTTTGTTGTACCAGAAGACCGTTGGCTCAAGATACAACAGACCATTCCACCAGCTCTACTCTCTCCGTTACCACTTCAACAATGGCAGAGCCTACTAGGTCTTCTCACATCAGCCCAAGACATGACTGTCACAGGCAGATTACAGTTACGTCCCCTACAGGTCTTCATCAACGCACATCTCAACGATGTACAACCATTCAGTCTACCGAAACAGCTCAGACCTCATCTACTATGGTGGACCAAGAAATCGAATGTCTGCGAAGGGATTTGTTTAGCAGAGCAGGAATTCAAAACCCATCTATATGTAGACGCGTCACTCCAAGGTTGGGGAGCTCATCTCGCCAACCACACGATATCAGGATTATGGAATCAGCAAGAAAGCAAACTCCATATAAACATTCTAGAAATGAAAGCTGTAATCAACGCCATTCTACATTGGAGCACATTTCTACAAAATGCGCACCTAATGATCCATACAGACAATTCGACAGTGGCGTTCTACGTAAACAAGCAAGGCTCAACGAGATCGCTGAACCTTTTGAACCTAAGCTTTCAACTGTTCGATCTAATACAAGATCTAAATCTACATGTCAGAGCAGTTCACATTCCCGGAGCCAGAAATGTACTAGCAGACGCTCTCTCTCGGCCTCATCTACCATCACCGACAGAGTGGATGATCAACAGGGAAATATTTGCACAGATAATCAAGCAATTAGGAGCGCCGCTAATAGATCTATTCGCCACACGATTCAACGATCAGCTACCGACATTCGTGTCACCAGTCCCAGACCCTCAAGCTTGGGCAACGGACGCTCTAAGTTTATCATGGGAAGGCCTCAATGCGTACGCGTTTCCGCCGCCAGCAATAATACCTCAAGTATTACAGAAAATCAGACAAACACAGAGCCTACAACTCACTTTGGTCGCGCCCTACTGGCTGGCCAGAACGTGGTTTCCCATACTAATTCAAGAAATCAGTCAACCAGCACTAGAGCTACCCAAGCGCTCAAACCTGTTAATTCAACCCAGGGGGTGTTCCAACTACACGTATGGACTGTATACAAATGTGTTTAAACAAGAGAGGATATTCTGCCAGGGCGGCAAAAGCAGTCACGCTTGCCTTACGGTACTCAACTCGTAACTTGTACGGCGACAAATGGCACAGTTTCGAAAATTATGCAGCAAAGAAAGGTTTTACAGCGAGAGAGGCTTCACAGCCTCAAGTGGCAGACTATTTGTGTTACCTTCGCCGAAACAAACATTTAAAAGGTTCAACGATATCAACATATCTTGCCACGCTTAGTTCTGTGATCACCATGAGAACGGGTGTCAAATTGACAAGATCTCCAGAGTTACTGGCCTTACTAGCGGAAGTTCCACGCCCGAGCTTGGGATCTGAATATAGTGTTACAACACCTCACTAGTGAGGTTTATGAACCGTTGGAATCGACAACTTTTGAATTTCTCTCACAGAAAACACTATTTCTGCTATCTCTAGCCACGGCAGCAAGAATGTCTGAAATTCACGCTCTAGATTACGAGAGGATACAGTTTGATGACAATCATAACACAGCGCACCTCGGACTAAGATGGGATTTCATCGCTAAAAATCAACTGCCAGGTCAACCAGACAGGTTATTCCATATCCCGGCGCTACCCTCTATTCTCGATCACAAGATACACAAGACTTATCACTGTGTCCAGTCAGAGCTCTCAAAGTTTATTTACTTACGATCCAAAACAAGGAGAAGATTTCTCAAACGCTTATTCATCCCCTTATCGCCAACGAATCAAACAGAAGTGTCACGGACCACAATATCTATTTGGATAAGGACTGTCATTCTCCTCGCGCCTACAAGGCAGCAGGCTTGGACCCACCAACAGCATCAAATCCACATGAGATCTGGGCACTGGCCTCCACCCTCAGCCCTACACGGTAACTGTTCTTTGAACACGATTATGGAAGGATGCTATTGGAAATCTAACATGGTGTTTCGCGAATCACTACCTGAGAGACATCACTACAGAAGATGTCTCTGGCATTCACCATTTCGACCATTGGTCCTCGCTCAGCAACTGACAGTCCCTGCGTGAGGTTTAGCTTAACTATTACCCTCACAAGATTAATATGTATTATATACATACTTATCTAGCTTATAACTCTATGGAGTTTTAGGGCTATGTATATATTCAGCTTAAGTTACTCAGCCTTAAGCTTATACTGATGATATGTTCAGTTATTCAGTGCTTCTATCAGAGTCACTTATATATATATATATATATATTATATGTATTGTTCAATATATTAACAATGTAATTCCCCCTTAATGGCATTATATAACCTATGGTTTTTTTAATACAGGAAATATCCTAAGTCTACGCCTTCATGAAGTTCCCCGTGAGGGGATATTTCAGTTATATCTATACAGAATCACTAATTATAAATCCAAAGTATTCTGTTACTCCCCACCTCCGCTTCCTCAGAGGATTCTACAAGCAAAAGAGCATGAGTCAGGATAAGGATAAATATGTAATTTTGGAGTAAAATTGATATTTTATACTTATCCTGACTCATGAGGTTAGCCCTCCCATCCTCCCCACATAACACTTTGGATTTCCCTGAAAGTTCAAGTGTTGGGCCTCAAGAAAATCAGGAGAGAGTGAGGCACATGGCCAGAGGGTGGCTTACGACACCTGTTCCCCTGCCTAAAGGGAGGAAAGGGGAGCAACCTCAGTGGTAAGGGAGCTTCAAATAAGGAGATACAAGTGTTCCACTATCATTCTCAAGAGGAAGGAGACAAGCATACTTAGCATGAGTCAGGATAAGTATAAAATAAGAATTTTTGTCAGAAAATTACATTTTTATGAATTTTTAACTCTCTCACGTGTCAGATTTAATGAATCAATCATATTGTCTTTTCCGTTTTCCATTCCCACCACCAGTACTGTGAACAATAATGATTTCTTTAATGATAACAATATTTAATCAGTGAACTACGTTTCAATAGTGTGAAAAGATGGACACTGTATGTTGGCAGGATGAGGTACAGAATGACTGCCGTGTGATGGAGGGCTACTTCCAATCTCCCTTCACTAAGTTCTTGCCAGGGATCATGCCAGTTGAATCAGAAAAAGCCAAGTAAGTTAAAAAGCCAAGCATATGTTCAGTGTAATTTGGGTGGAGCATATGTGTTTTTGTTTCTTGTTGTTTTGTTTTTTTTGGTTTGTTTTTTGGTGGGGTTTTTCTTATGATACTTACATCTATTTTCCCAGAATCATGTACAGTCATATTGAAATGATACTTGCAATCTGTAACACAAACACAGCAATTTATACATTGATAGTAGCAAAGCAAGCTAAAGGTGAGTTCAACACCGGACTGCTGCATCATTTGACATGGAGCTCATGTATACACCCGCGTGCTGCATTTGACCACGAATGTGTCCCTGGAAGATCTAGACACCGATCTGGGGAATGTCATCGGATTGCTAAGGCAATTGGGAAGATAATACCTTTTTTTTTTTAATATATGCAAAAAGAGAGAGAAGGGTTGGAGAGAGAGAAGGGGTAGGCGGGTTGTTTAGATTGAAGAGGTAGACACACCATTTTCTTAAAAGGTTTTCATTATCTTCACCAAATATATACTTTTCAACCTTATAATGAAGTTTTATAATTTGTAGGAGATGGTTAAAATTTAACAGTTTAAGCATGCATTTACATTTGTAGATGTATTTTTTCATGATAGTGCATAGGTTGTTGACAAGAATGCTTTCATTGGGGTCACCCAGAAGAAATGAAGAGAGACTGAAATCAATACTACGACTGGTTTCATTTTCAAACCAACTCAGAAAACTGTCAATTAGAAGCTGAACTTTACAGCATTTGTAAAATAAGTGTTCAATGGTTTCATTTTCATGTTCACAAAAAGAACAACGTTGATCATCACTTTGTCCGATCTTATAGAGGAAAGATTTAGTTGAAATTATTCGATGAAGCAATCTGTATTGAAAGTTTCGGATGGAGTTATCGATAGATGATTTCTGATTGACTTCAGAAGCATTTTGACATATGCTCTTGTGTTATGATAACTTTTGGGGGTGAAATTAAATAATAGGCGTCATTTAAGGTATTTATGCGCATGGTACACAATACGCTTGAAATCTGATATTGTGTCGTGACTTAATTGATTTTGAAGGTGTACATTACGCCTGGGTAATACCTTATCTGTAGCCCTAGATGTGATCTATTTTACTTTCCCATTTGTTACATAACTTTTCGAGCGAGACCTGGTTTTGTTCACACAATAGTTGATAGATGAATTTACAATCATCAGAACGAAAAAGATTCACTAATAAATCACAATTTCTCGCTGTGACAATTGTTGGTTGGTCCTGATTTTGATTTTTGATAATGGAAAGACATTCAAAGAAATTTTAGTAATTTGACGTAAAGTAAATACGTATCATGAAAATTAAGCTCATGGTGGAGCATATGTTGGCTGTATAGAAAATCATTTAGTTTGACATGACATCATTCTTCATTGACATTGACACTAAGAAAACTTTCACCTGATAAGATGGTGCACAATGTTCTGAAGTTTCACTGCTGGTAAAGGGAGGCATTCATTCTGATGCCCTGTGTCTCAGTGCTGCAAAGAGATTCTGTCCTTGCAGTAAGTGTTCATTCTAGAGTCTTGTATCACTGCGTTGCCATGTGTGTATCTGTCCTTGCAACGCACTCCCTGAAGTTGAAAAATCTTATTATGAACCAATTACCACTGAAGCTATATATTTATTATTAAATGTAAACATTTGCAAAAGTTATAACATTTACAAGGTTAGAATATATACCCGTTCATGACAGTTTTTGAAACAGAACAGGTCAGGTTGACAGAAACATATTTTATGGCAATGGATTCTGTTACTTCTTCCATGCTAGTTCTTGTTCTAGCTGCAGAGTGACCAATAGGTGCTATTCAAAACTAACTGTCACTGTAAAATGTGTACCAGAGTCAGATATTTAAATATTAAAAACAGTTTTTTATTGATTTGGAAACAGGAACTGATTAAGGTTGTCTAATCTCACCTTGTCGTAAGTTGTGATGGCACACACTGTGCCATTAAACAACCAAGAAGTGACAGGTTGGCCCGTCACAAATACCCTTTGAATTAGAGTTATCTCCCTTGGGACATGTAATATCCTGCAACATAGATTTCTTTGCTATTTTCAACATGATAGCAAAGCCTAAGGCATCTGTATTGACCTTGATCTAGCTGATTTTGTGGCACAGCATCCAGGTTATCTTTGAACCCCAACATAACTTGAAACGAATAGGTGATGTGTAAAAGTTAATGCAGTATTTTGTGTACATGAGATTAATGAAGATGTCTCATCTCTTCTATTTTTCTTTGCAGATTTCAGATTATTTTGCCAAAGAACTGGAAGCATGGAAAATTAAAACCTGTCTGTCTCCATCTGGCTGGCACAGGAGACCATGTGAGTTTAGCATTCAACAGTCGTGACGGTTTCACGTTTACAAGTGTGTTTACAATATTAGTTATTGCTGGACACAATGTAACACCATATCCCATGATTTCCCCAAGTCCAACACCTGTGGGAAATCTTACAACATAGGTCCCCAGAGTCCCCATGTAAGAAGTGGCAAAGTGGATGAGGTTGTGAGACTCAAGGATTTGGTTTATTTAATAACATTGTGTCCCTTTTGTGTGGATCAATGGTCATGTCAGTTACTGAGAGTGAATACACAATGCCATTTGGCAAATGTGATATTTCTCGAGTCATCGTGTGTATTTATGAGGCAATTAAATCAGTAACTGGTATTCAAATGATGACAACTATAACAGGGAATGGTCGGACCAACAGGTACCGAGTTATGCATAATATTCGAGACACCAGCATTCGACTCATCGGGATTTGACTGTATGTTATGCTTGGGTTTACACATTCAGCTAAGTACAGATTCTAGTACTTGTCGGTGTTGTGTTCCATTGGGGATCCAAACCCACACTCTCAGAGTCGGGCACCTAATCACCGGCAGTTAATTTGATTGTCAGACAGGATGTCCTAGTTCGACTGCTCAGAGTCAGTGTAATCTGATTGCCTTTCTTTCACATCTCTCTGTTCATGTCCACAGTTCTTCTGGCGGAGGAGAACCTTGATGGCACGACCACTCCTGAAGGAAGCTGGCATCGCATCCATACTGCTGGAAAACCCTTACTGTATCCTTGTCTTTGTTGCTAGGCAACATATTCCCTGATGGTATAGAGGAAGATATCACTTTCAGCCCCCCATGGGAATTCTGGGTTAAAATACGACCGTATATAGAGCTTCCATTAGGAGATTCTGCATTTTGATGTGAGCTATTGAAGGAATGTCTATTTTTTAATACAAATTTGTAGTTTCTGTTTATTGCTCAAAATGTGACATTAACTTTTGTGATGTCCTTGATCATCCATTGTATCAGAGCTCCATTCAGTAATAACAAACTATACTTTGGGATGATGCTATTGAAAGGAGCTATAGCAGCACACAAATAGGTTCAAGGAGTTTATCATAGATAGCATTAAGGCTGTTACGATTCACTCGCATAATCGGTGAATCGAACTGTAGCCCTTCATGAATTCAATTTTTTATTCGTGGTCACCAGAACCGAGTGTAAATGAATATTTACGAAGTTTTTAAGGGAGTGTGTTTTACTTTTAACCATTATGTCCTTTTTCGAAGTGAGATATGCAGGAATGGAATATGTACTAGCCTTGTAGTAGCACACGTTACGTTAGTTTGCCTGAAGGTCGCACATGGTACTGTTGACTAACTATAACATACCAAATTTGAGTGTCATGAGATCACTGGTAATTGCTGTGACAGATTAACACTATCAACATGGGCGTTCCAGTTTGTGCATCAATCACTTAACTACAATATTGTATTCATGAATAATTATTCGTCTTCGTTATCCATTATTCGCGATACGTATCATATTCGCCAAATAGTGAATTCATTGCAGCCCTAGATAGCATAGAGATTTGATACCAGGGGGTTGTTTCACAAAGTGATCATAGCACTACAAGTGTCATGACTCATATGTTATAACATAGACTCAGAGGCCCAGATAAGCTGCGTATCCGGGTAAAATACGTATAGAAAATTTCTAATTATGCTTTGAAAAATAATTGTTGCGTACCAATTACGCATTCAAAATGTTAAAAGTTTAAAATAAATGCGTACGGAATATATTTATAAAAATCGCTTACGTAATGAAAAAGACATCGCTTTGCTATCAAGTTGTACTGTTAGTATAGGACTAGTGTTGTACTGTCAGTATAGGATGAGTGATTTTTTATGAAATCATTTCCATTCCATTTAAGTTGGTTTTGATTAGGTATGACATAAGGCAGAACATACCTGCTTAGTAAACTTACTCAATGACATAATACTTAGGTGAGTAAAATGACTGAAATACGCACATATTTGAAAGCAGTGGGTAACGGAAAATGAAATACCCACTCAACATTTATAATACCAATTCCAAAAAAATACAGTGGGTACAGTACCTACATGAGCTAAATCTTGTCTGGAGCTCTGAGACTTATGACCGTCATAGAGCTACGGTCACTTGTAAAACAGGCTCCTGGTGCTCATAATCTATTTGTTGGAAGCATTATCCAAATTGCCTGCTGACTTATCTCCCTTGAATTGTAAGCATTTGATACAATGAATGTTGCCATTTGTTTTCCTTATGTATCATCAGATGGGGAAAGGAAGCCAAAGTATCAATTGTAAGTACCCAGTTTGAACAATATGCATACACCTGATCACTGACAGGTATTCGGGTATTCGGCCACTGCTTGGGGTTGACTCCAATGCAAGGGGAGACAACTCCCACCTCGTCTTGCCACACAGTACATTGTCTGAACTTATTTTAACTTAGATGATGCAGAGAAACAGAGAGAAAAATGCTGCCATTGTGTGGCATGTTACCATTGAAAACATACACTCTGGAGGGTTTGGAGCAGTGGATACTTTAGCTCCATCAGAACTCTAATGGTGTGTAGTGCTATACTTCATGGTGTATGATATATGGTATTGTCCAACAGTTGTACATGTACTATACTATATATCACCACGTATAAAGCAACCCCACATATAAGGTACCCCCTTGTACAAACCTTGTACAAACATCCGTGGCTATTGGACATTGGCTGACATCGACAGTCAGAAAAAATATGAGATCTTCTAACCCGCATTCTTTGATTCAAACCCCTCTAATTTTAGTTAAGTCACCTTATAAGTGGCAATATACAGTGAAGTAGATGAGTGTGATCTGCAATAGATCTGAAATAGAACTGATTGATATAAGCCACATTTACTATTCTCTTTGCCTAAAGTAACAGTTTTGTCCTAGTTATTTTGTCCTTACTCAAACAATACCTGGGAGATGGGGTAGCCTAGTGGTTAAAGCGTTTACTCGTCATGCCGAAGGCCCAGGTTTGATTCCCCACATAGGTACAATGTATGACGCCATTTCTGGTGTACCCGTCGTGATATTGCTGGAATATTGCTAAAAGCAGCGTAAAACCATACACACTTGCTCAGTCAACACCATTCCTGATGCTCATGTGTTTCAGCCAGCTTGTAAATGTCTTTTGTCAGGTTTACCTGTTTCCTCACAATCAATCTGACATACTGTTATCAAGCTTTATATGACTGAAGTACCTCTAATTGTTGTCTAATCTGTGCCTCTTAGCAGTCTGTTACCAGAATAGGAGTTGATAGCAGTTTGGTTTGTTGCAGACGGTCTAGCCTCCATAACGTGAGTGACCTGTTTGTGATGGGTGCTGCCCTGATACTGGAGTCCCAGGTGCTCTTACACTGGTGTGAGAAGCAGGGCTGGGGGCCCCTGGGCATCACCGGCATCTCCATGGGGGGACATGTAAGTAGGGAACAATACTCATTCAGGCTGCACTACAATTTTGTTTTTATCAACCTTGAAAGGACATTATTATTGATCAAATGCCTTCAAATGGCCTTGGAATTTTGACATGGATGACTCTGCCCTTATATATAACAGTTATTTATCTCTCATAATGCAATGGGGCAGTGGGGTAGCCTAATGGTTAAAGCGTTCGCTCGTCACGCCGAAGACCCGGGTTCGAATCCCCACATGGGCACAATGTGTGAAGCCCATTTCTGGTGTCCCCAGCCGCCGATGTTGCTGGAATATTGCTCTCATAATGCATGAAGATATCATGTAGCAAATATGCATGTGGCGTGGTCAAACAAATATGAAACTTCATGGTGTACTTGAGTGTGTGTGCGTGCATGGTGTGTGTGTGTGTGTGTGTGGTGTGTGTGTGTGTGGATGTGTGTCTGTGTGTGTGTGTTAGAAAGGAATAATGTGTTATCTGTTTGAATGTTTAATGCCTTTAATATTGTGGTTGAGGTTTTTTTTTAAACATTCATTTACTCTTACAACAAGCAAATTGTGTTGGGATGAATTTAAATCTCCTGTGGAAGGTGGATGTGTGTAAATCTCCTGCGGAAGGTGGATGTGAGTAATTCTCCAGGGGAGGGTGTGTATGTGTAAATCTCCAGGGGAAGGTGGATGTGTGTAAATCTCCAGGGGAGGGTGTGTATGTGTAAATCTCCAGGGGAAGGTGGATGTGTGTAAATCTCCAGAGGAGGGTGTGTATGTGTAAACCTCCAGTGGGAGATGGATGTGTGTAAATATCCAGGGGAAGGTGTGCGTAAATCTCTAGTGGAAGGTGGATGTGTGTAAATCTCTAGGGGAAGTTGTGTATGTGTAAATCTCCAGGGGAAGGTGGATGTGTGTAAATCTCCAGAGGAAGGTGGATGTGTGTAAATCTCCAGAGGAGGGTGTGTATGTGTAAATCTCCAGGGGGAGGTGGATGTGTGTAAATATCCAGGGGAAGGTGTGCGTAAATCTCCAGTGGAAGGTGGATGTGTGTAAATCTCAAGGGGAAGTTATGTGTGTGTAAATCTCCAGGGGAAGGTGGATGTGTGTAAATCTCCAGGGGAAGGTGGATGTGTGTAAATCTCCAGGGGAAGGTGGATGTGTTTAAATCTCCAGAGGAGGGTGTGTATGTGTAAATCTCCAGGGGAAGGTGGATGTGTGTAAATCTCTAGGGGAAGGCGGATGTGTGTAAATCTCCAGGACAAGGTGGACTAACTGGAAGGTGGATAGGTGTAATCTCCAGTGGAAGGTGGATGTGTGTAAACCGCCAGGGGGAGGTGGATGTGTGTAAATATCCAGGGGAAGATGTGCGTAAATCTCCAGTGGAAGGTGGATGTGTGTAAATCTCAAGGGGAAGTTTTGTATGTGTAAATCTCCAGGGGAAGGTGGATGTGTGTAAATCTCAAGGGGAAGGTGGATGTGTGTAAATCTCAAGGGGAAGTTGTGTATGTGTAAATCTCCAGGGGAAGGTGGATGTGTGTAAGTCTCCAGTGGAAGGTGGATGTGTGTAAATCTCCAGAGGAGGGTGTGTATGTGTAAATCTCCAGGGGAAGGTGGATGTGTGTAAATCTCTAGGGGAAGGCGGATGTGTGTAAATCTCCAGGAAAAGGTGGATGTGTGTAAATCTCCAGGGGAAGGTGGATGTGTGTAAATCTCCAGTGGAAGGTGGATGTGTGTAAATCTCCAGGGGAAGGTGGACTAACTGGAAGGTGGATGTGTGTAAATCTCCAGGAAAAGGTGGATGTGTGTAAATCTCCAGGGGAAGGTGGATGTGTGTAAATCTCCAGGAAAAGATGGATGCGTGTAAATCTCCAGGAAAAGGTGGATGTGTGTATATCTCCAGGGGAAGATGAATGTGTGTAAATCTCCAGGGGAAGATGAATGTGTGTAAATCTCCAGGGGAAGATGAATGTGTGTAAATCTCCAGGGGAAGGTGGATGTGTGTAAATCTCCAGGGGAAGGTGGATGTGTGTAAATCTCCAGGGGAAGGTGGATGTATGTAAATCTCCAGGGAAGGTGGATGTGTGTAAATCTCCAGGTCAAGGTGGACTAACTGGAATAAGTACTTGGAAGTTACTATTGTTTTGACCACATAGGTGTATGAACCCTGTTTTATTTTGCTTCAGATGGCATCCCTGGCAGCCTCAAACTGGGTCAAGCCTCTGACACTGGTGCCATGTCTGTCCTGGAGTACCGCTTCTGTCGTCTTTACACAGGTGAGATATGTACTTCATGGACAGGGGCCATATTGCTTCTGTTGTCCATGGACAGGTGCAAATACACAGCTTCTGTACTTCATGGACAGGTGTCACATTGCTACCGGTGTCCTCATAGAGGTGCAAATACACAGCTTCTGTACTTCTTGGACAGGTGCAAATACACAGCTTCTGTACTTCATACACAGGTGTCACACTGCTACCGATATCCTCACACAGGTACAAATGCACGGCTTCTCTTCATCATGCACAGGTGTCATATTGCTACCGATATACTCATACCGGTGCAAATACACAGCTTCTGTACTTCATACACAGGTGTCACACTGCTACCGATATCCTCATACAGGTACAAATACACGGCTTCTCTTCTTCATGCACAGGTGTCACATTGCTACCGATATCCTCATATCGGTGCAAATACACAGCTTCTGTTCTTCATGCACAAGTACAAATACAGAGCTTCTGTATTTCATGCACAGGTGTCACATTGCTACTGATATCCTCACACAGGAACATTCACTGCCTGCCCTGCACTATGGAATCAAGTCTACATCATACATGCCAGACGTGGGACCACCACATATCCCCTCATCTTCGCCTTACTTCCCGACCGCCAGACGGCAACCTACTCCAGACTCTTCAGACTCCTCAAGGATGAAGTTCAGCGGAGACTCAACAGGCCGCTTGTCCCATCCTGTATCCAGACAGACTTCGAGTTAGCAGCAATCCATGCCTTAGAGACTGAATTTCCAACTGCTGTCGTGAAGGGTTGTTTCTTCCATTTCTGTCAAGCCATTTGGATCTTGGACTGGCTGTTGCCTACAAAGAAAACCCGAAGTCACCAAGTGGATCAGGAGAGCAGCTGGGCTCTACGGTCCAGGACACGTGGGTAGAAGCCATGGACGACACTCCAGACGTCCCAAGAGCAGTCGACTTCAACGATTACATCGTGTCAACCTGGGTCGACGACACAGCCAGATTTCTACTTCCCCTGTGGAACCACAACCTGACATCTGGGCCGAGGACAAACAACAATCTAGAAGGTTTTCACAACCGACTGAACCGTGAAATTCTGCACAGGCATCCGAACATATACAGATTTGTAGAAGTCATTAGGAGAATTGAACATGCTGAGAGGGTGAAGATTTCACAAATAGACTTTGGTGCTGCGACAAGTAGCAGAAAGCGAGTCTTCAGGGAGATTGACAATCGCCTGTGTAGACTCGAGGAGCAGCTTGAGCTTGGACAGAAATCACCTCTTCAGTTCTTGGACGCCGTTGGCTATCTGCTTAAGCTGGGATAGATTGAAACACTGAATGTTCATAGACTGAAACACTTGACACAAATGACTAACCTTCATGCACAGGTGTCACACTGCTTCCGGTATCCTCATAGAGGTGCAAAAACACAGCTTCTTTTCTTCATGCACAGGTGTCACACTGCTACTGATATCCTCATAGAGGTGCAAATACACAGCTTCTCTTCTTCATGCACAGGTGTCACATTGCTTCCGGGATATTTATTGTGTGCCCCTCTGTGCCATTCCTGTCTTTAGACAAGTGGGTTCGATGGGGTTACCTAGTGGTTTTTCGCTCGTCACGCCAAAGATCCGGGTTCAATTCCCCATGTGGTACAATGTGTAAGCCCATTTATGGTGTCCCCCACCCTGATATTGATGGAATATTGCTAAAAGTGGTGAAAACTCACTCACTTTAGACAAGTGAGTTGCACTGCTTCCAATGATTTTACACATGTGAGAGGTGTCTGTGGTCTTAGGCTGCCACATGGATTCAGTGCTGGTCTTATGAGGTGACTAAATACATTGGATGGTCAGGCTCATTAACATATGATTGACAAAAGACTCTTTTTGCTGTCAATTTTTCACTCATGACATGATTAATACAATTGTATGCCTACAGTGATCTAACACTAAAACCTTTTGAAACTCAAAAATACTTTTATCAGACATGAGAATTTTCAGCGGATCCATGGATTTCTGGGATTTTGGTTTCATTTTTAACGTTTTTGAGATCGATGTAAATCTGCAATTAAAATTTAGGGGTGGGTGGGGGGTAATGTTGAAACAAGGATGGTGAGGATATGTATCTAGGAAAAATCGGTCGTTTTGCCCCATGAAATACGGAAGTATTTGCTAACTGTAGGCAGTATTTTCATGTACTGTCCCAGTCCAGTGCTTTTTTCTGTTGGGCAAGCAAATTTGTATATCACACTGTACTGGTGTCCAGTTGACTTTCCAATGTTAATTATGTTGCTTTTTTAAAAAATGAACAGGAAAATCAGCAGGTATAGTGGAAAAATTATCAGGGCAAGTGATTTTACATGCGCCACTGTACTGGAGTACACTAGCAATTTTAAAGTTATTTCCATCCCTGGGAGAAAGGACATGCGAAACCTAACGTAGGCGGCGCGATGCATTGAGTTTCTGAACGCCAGTTCCTAGTATACGGCACAGCCAACATTCTAAATTCTAGTGTTACTGCAAGAGTTTTCACGCAGGAAAATGGCCACCATTATCAAGCGAGATGAAAATGATGAGCGATTAAAAGAAATTGACAAGTGTATGAGAAACCAATGCCTGCCCTGGACTCGCTGGGGACCTGAGCTGCCGCTAAGAGTAAGACTCCCGGCTAATTTTTCAGTGTTTCATTCTTTGTCTTCACATGGTTCCTATATCGTCTCCTGAGGGCCATGTCAATATCCAAGCAGAATATGATCCTAACTGTACATCAAAATGAGATGAACTCCCCTAATCTCTATAACAACATTCCTGAATGTCTACTGAACCTAACCAAGACATTATAAGAGCAGGTAATCTTCATAGAGGAATGATAATAATGTCCTTCATATACCTGGCTTCCTGGTAGGAAAAATCAAATGTCACCAATGTCCCATGCTTGGCGTGATACCTGCTGAATAAGAAGGCTCGGTTGCTTGGTCATAATGCCACAATGACATGGCTTGTTGAACATACGTTCATTGACTCGTTTGTCTTCATGACATACAGATGGAATAATGTTTTGTGTACTGAAAAACAGCTTTTACTCTATCCTGATACTATCACTTGTGGCCTTGTGGTTAATCATTGGTCATTCCATAACCAGAGGTTTGCTTCCTAACATGGGGTCAATGTGTCAAGCCCATGTCTAATAATATTGTTGGAATATTGCTATTAAAAGCAAGGTAAAACCTGACTCACTCAATGTTATCACTGTAAGTGAGTGAGTGAGTTTTTCGCTGCTTTTAGCAATATTCCAGCAATATCACAGCGGGGGACACTAGAAGTATGCTTTACTCATTGTACCCATGAGGGGAATTGAGCCTGTGTTCAGCGTGACAAGTGAATGCCCCTATCACAGTATTGGTACAATAGTATCACAATATTGTTTTTGAAAGCAAAAGTTGCATGTTGGCAGCTGTGAGGTAGACATAGGTTTCTGGGAGACATTATGTGTCACATTGCTGATGACCTCCTTCTGGTGTAGGGGCAGTGGGGTAGCCTACTGGTTGAAGCGTTGGCTCGTCACGCCAAAGACCCGGGTTCGATTCCCCACATGGGTACAATGTTTGAAGCCCATTTCTGGTGTCCCCTGCCGTGATGTTGCTGGAATCTTGCTAAAAGCGGCGTAAAACCATACTCACTCGCTCACGTATATCTGTTTCTGGCTTAATGACACTAGTCTAATACAGCTGATATCTTGCTGACTCATCAAACATGCCATTACCATGTCACTCAACTTTCATACCCCCGTGATATGCAGACACTTCAAAGACCTGTGATGTACAGTGGATGCTTGCAGGTGATAGTGTGTGACAGGCTCTGCTGATGAACTGATCTAGTGTGCAGATGTTGTTTTATCCATCAGTGGACAAAGCCGGGCAGATCCTGTCAGAGCAGCTGTTACCATCTGTTCATCCTTGTCATACTTCACTATGCTCGGAAACACAGCTATAGCTATGTCATCACTTTTTTATAAAACAGAAATAGTTTCATTTGTTAGTCCTCACTGTGTTTTTTTTCATTCAAAAGATACAACTGAAAAGAGTAACTGTTAACATTTTATTTATTATTTTTAAATATTAATATTGGATGAAATCAGTCTCTGGCTACTGAAAGCTCACAATAGAGCGAACAAAGCTGTCTCTGATAGTGACTGAGTAAGTGAGTTTAGTTTTACGCTACACTCAACAATATTCCAGCTAGATGGCAGCAGTCTGTAAATAATCGAATCTGGACCAGACAATCCAGTGATCAACAGCATGAGCATTGATCTTCGCAAGTTGGAACCGATGACATGTGTCAACCAAGTCAGAGAGCCTGACCACCCGATCCCATTAGTCTGCCTCTTACGAGCATGGGTTACTGAAGATCAGTTCTAACCCGGACCTTCACGGGTCCTTATCTCTAATAAAAGTAAATATGTCACAGTGATGATATTGAGCATTCTCCACAGAATTAGAATTTTATTAAATCCCAGTATACAATCAGATTAATATAACTGTATGCTAAACATTGACCTTAAAAGCAAATTGGATAACAAATATAATTTACAAACTGAAAAACAAAAGCAGTTGGGCTCAACTCATACAACACTGACTAAATGTTCACTGTTTTACTTATTCTATAGACAGGCTATACTCATTCTCTGCACATGTTACATTGAAGTTCTAACCTGTTGTTTGTGATAGTCTGATGGATATCATTCTCCTCGTGTACATGCACACATCTGTTGAATATTGTTCGAATTATATGCAGTGTTATTGTAGGGATGTAATGATACAGTGGTTCAGTGTGATACATATTTAACCAAGTAGTGTATCACCAACCCTCCAGGTATTAGTGCATGTAATCAGCTACAGCTGGTGTTGACAGGTTGTTATCGCTGGTTACTGTATTACAGATTTAGTTTCTATAGTGTTTACAAAACGTTGGCTTGTTCAGTATTGTGTCGATTTTATAGTAGTAACATGTTTGTTTGTTGTAGTATTTGAGTCTGACATTTCAACAAGTTGACTGTGTATCCAAAATGTATGGAAACTTCTCCAGGGTTTTACAAGACTAACAAATGTAGAGAATGGATGCAGAAAAAAAATTCACTGAATCCAGAGCGCACAGTGTTATTCATTATACTCACAACACATCTTTGGAAAGTGTTGGGTTGTTTCTTTCTGGACAGTTATGTGCATCATACGTCAGTCCACATGATCAATGATTCATTCCAGGCTCTTAAGAAATTATCAAAAGGTACAGTTCTGTACACTGTTACTTCATAGGACCCTTGGTTTACCCGCAAGGACCCTAAAATATATTAATTAGGGGTCCCTGGGCCCCCCATGTTTGCGAGTTGAGGTAAAACCCTGCTTCTCCAATGCTATGTTCACTTTATCATGATTCGCGCCATGACTGAAATCGTGGTCCTAATCGTGGACTTATCATGGTGATCCTATCAGATCTTATCAGATCTTGAAGTCAGTCGTGGCAATCGTGTTAATCGTAGAAAAATTTTGGATGGTTCAAAAAATGTCCAGGATCAACACGATTAATTGTCAATCATAATCATCGCATCAGATTGTATTGAATCGTAACAAAGCGCAACATATCGCGTCTAATTGTGCTTCCAAATTGTGGTGATCGGAATCAATCGTGGTTGTGGGTTGTAGTGTTCACTCTGTTGAAGTTCAATAAACAGTGAAGTCAATGGTCAGTCGGGCTGTATATATACCCGTTGGGGTCCAGTCGTAGCTCAAATCGTGATCACCTTGATCATGATCGTGAAAGACATCAAAACCACAATCGTATCCTATCACAACAGAGTGCATCGGTTTGTGATGAACGTATTGGAACATACCTGCACGTACCAGATCGTCCCAAATCGGGGACCCCGATCGTGATGATCGTGTCAGATCGTGACCCAATCATGGACTCGATCGGGACAATCCTATCACAACGTATGTGATCGTATCTGAACGGGGACCAGATCGTGATAATAGCGCATCCAAGCACAACAAATGGCATCATAACGTTCAACTTGCATCAACTCGTATCCAAACCAGAAATTTCAGAGAAGTTCCACAATCAGCTACGAATGGCCAATCGTGGCATTCATAACGAATCGTACGACAGTGTGAACCTAGCATAAGCTGCCAAGACATATCAGTATGTATTAATTAGATTAATGGGAAGACATGAAGTATTCTAGTTATTTATACTGAGATATGCTCCTCGAGGTGCTCTCTATTTTGAAATCGGTTGGAATACATTTGCTCTGCTTGTTTTACAAAATTAGCAATCATGTAAACCCTTCATACCGTGTAAACTTTTACCAAATGCTGTTATTGAAATATCTGAACACAATTGAAGAAAATGGACAAAATTTGTCTATGCTATTCAGTAAAACACTTTTATGTAATCAGTCATTGTTTTCCCTTTACTGTAAAATTATGGAACGATGGACACCTATGGATTAGAGAGTCCTGTCCTCTCAGCTGTTTGAAAAAGCAATACCAAAATAAAAACTAAATACATTCCTTTATATTTCTCTTGTAGTTTGTGGAAGTGAAATATGTTACAACCTTATGCTACTCATACTCCCATTTAAATTGACATATTAGGATTGGTTTAATTATAGCCCTAAATATCTGTAGTTCTCCATTATTTATTCTTTTTGAATATACACTGTCTTTCGTACACATTTCATTTGTGACTTGATCAAATCTGTTATTAGTATGATAGTAATTAAGTTTTGCAATTAATGGTAGTATGGGATTAAATTAGCTGTGTTGAAAATAAGTCCATATATAGACATTGATGTTACCACAGTAGTTTGGATTCTAATACTGGGCTTTCTTCCACTGTGCTTGATGGTGACAGAATTGTTAGTGACAGAGCACCATCAGATATGAGATTTATATCATTGATAAGCTTTGGAAAACCGTTTAATGTGAATTAATGCTAAAACATTTTATGAACACCACTGTATATGATTATTAATGATGTTTGACTCGGAAAACAAATACCAGTTTGCACATTTTGTAACCAGTTTGGAATTCTAATCTTAAAATGATGGGTCTACTTTCAGTACAAGATTTGAGTCAGTTTGAGCTAGGCCTGTTAGCATTACAACACAGTTTGTGGGTTTCACCAAAGTGTTTGACGTTAGTGTTGAGTGTCACATTGGGCATTTATTCCAAATTACTCTGACATGCTGATATACTGGGACAATACTCAAATCATGTTTAGGCCCAGAGTTTCTCACGGTGTGTGTGCGACCTAGCCTCATCTGATGGGAGTGACTTATTGTGGTGTATGTGTGAGTGTGTGTTTTGGTTTTGTAGGACAAGATGTCAACCTAGCATCTTTGACTGGTGTGACTTATTGTGATGTGCATGCATGTGTGTGTTTTGCAGGGTGAGACCGGTGTGACTTATTGTGATGTGTGTGTGTGTTGCAGGGTGAGACCGTGTGACTTATTGTGATGTGTCTGTGTTGCAGGGTGAGACCAGTGTGACTTATTGTGATGTGTGTGTGTTGCAGGGTGAGACCGTGTGACTTATTGTGATGTGTGTGTGTTGCTGATGACGTGTGTTGCAGGGTGACTGTGTGACTTATTGTGATGTGTGTGTGTTGCAGGGTGAGACCGTGTGACTTATTGTGATGTGTGTGTTGCAGGGTGAGACCAGTGTGACTTATTGCAGGGTGAGAGGGTGAGACCAGTGTGACTTATTGTGATGTGTGTGTGTTTGCAGGGTGAGACCGTGTGACTTATTGTGATGTGTGTGTGTTGCAGGGTGAGACCGTGTGACTTATTGTGATGTGTGTGTGTTGCAGGGTGAGACCAGTGTGACTTATTGTGATGTGTGTGTGTTGCAGGGTGAGACTTATTGTGATGTGTGTGTGTTGCAGGGTGAGACCAGTGTGACTTATTGTGATGTGTGTGTGTTGCAGGGTGAGACCAGTGACTTATTGTGATGTGTGTGTGTTGCAGGGTGATGACCGTGTGACTTATTGTGATGTGTGTGTTGCAGGGTGAGACCGTGTGACTTATTGTGATGTGTGTGTGTGTGTTGCAGGGTGAGACCGTGTGACTTATTGTGATGTGTGTGTGTTGCAGGGTGAGACCGTGTGACTTATTGTGATGTGTGTGTGTTGCAGGGGTGAGACCAGTGTGACTTATTGTGATGTGTGTGTGTTGCAGGGTGAGACCGTGTGGACTTATTGTGATGTGTGTGTGTTGCAGGGTATGACCGTGTGACTTATTGTGATGTGTGTGTGCAGGGTATGACCGTGTGACTTATTGTGATGTGTGTGTGTTGCAGGGTGAGACCGTGTGACTTATTGTGATGTGTGTGTGTTGCAGGGTATGACCGTGTGACTTATTGTGATGTGTGTGTGTTGCAGGGTGAAGACCGTGTGACTTATTGTGATGTGTGTGTGTGTTGCAGGAATTGAGACCAAAGTGTGACTTATTGTGATGTGTGTGTGTTGCAGGGTGAGACCGTGTGACTTATTGTGATGTGTGTGTGTTGCAGGGTGAGACCAGTGTGACTTATTGTGATGTGTGTGTGTTGCAGGGTGAGACCGTGACTTATTGTGATGTGTGTGTGTGTTGCAGGGTGAGACCGTGTGACTTATTGTGATGTGTGTGTGTTGCAGGGTATGACCGTGTGACTTATTGTGATGTGTGTGTGTTGCAGGGTGAGACCGCGTGACTTATTGTGATGTGTGTGTGTGTTGCAGGGTGATTGACCGTGTGACTTATTGTGATGTGTGTGTGTTGCAGGGGTGAGACCGTGTGACTTATTGTGATGTGTGTGTGTTGCAGGGTGACCGTGACCGTGATGACTTATTGTGATGTGTGTGTGTTGCAGGGGTGAGACCGCGTGTGACTTATTGTGATGTGTGTGTGTTTGCAGGGTGACCGAGTGACTTATTGTGATGTGTGTGTTGTGTTGCAGGGGGTGATGAGTGATGTGTGTGTGTTGCAGGGGGTCCCCGTGGCTTATTGGTGCTGGAGTCTGAGTGCAGTATTTCGAGGACCATGTGTATGAACAGGAGATCAAGAAGCTGATCTACTCACCAGAGGAGGTATGTACAAAACAGATTAGTAGAGGTGGGGTCCAGCATGTATGACAGCCGTATACTACCCATCCACATTGAAGCCCAGGGGTATAAATATATTGTCATATTGTCATTACTTCACAGCTTTGTAACGTCATGCTGAAGGCCGGGGTTCGATTCCCCGCATGGGTACAATATGTGTAACCCATTTCTGGTGTCCCCCCCCCCCATGATATTGCTTGAATATTGCTAAAATCGGCATGAAACCCAATTCACTCACTCACTCACAGCTTTGTAGACGGGATTGCTATGGCTCGAGAATTACGAGGGCAAGATAATCTGTCATTCCCCGTCACAAGTTAGTTATTGTCTAAATAGCCAGAAAAGGGTTACAGTTGATTTACCTTGAATAGATGAAAGTTAAAGCTATGTAACAAGCTTGACCTCTGTTGATGGTCTGGTTGAGTCGTTTGAAGTTGTCAATCCATAAAACTTGTTTGTCTTCGTCATACCAACTTCTGAAGAGACACTTAACGAAGTTATGTCACTGACAATGATCTCTGTCACTATTCGCGTTCTCGTTCTCTGTCACTAATGTCTGTCACAGTCATATCTGTCAGGTCACAGTAATCTCTGTCCACAGGCGCTGCGTGGAGCATATGGTATGGGGAAGATGTTTGTGTCTGGCTTCTCATCTCGGAACTCTGACACAGACATAAACATGGACGTGGTAAAGAAGCCTGGCAACATCAGGCCATCAGGAACTCCCAGTGTTGATGTCGGAGCAAGGGCCTTCAGCTCGGCAGTCAACCTCCCACCCGACAGTGCCACGGTCAAGGCCAAACAAGCTGCTAACTGGAGGACAGAACCTTTGACATTACAACATGCTAGTGCCAAATCAAAACTTTTTAGTGTGCCTTTTAATGGCAAGCCTAAGGAACCCAGCTACCCTAACACCTTGAAGAAGGAAGCCCTACAGTTCATGGTGGGGGTGATGGACGAGTGTACACACCTGGGAAACTTCTCTGTCCCCATCGACCCCGAACTTATCATCATCGTGGCAGCCAAGCAGGATGCATATATCCCCCGAGATGATGTTCTGAGGCTGGACCAGCTGTGGCCTGGCTCAGAGGTGAGGTATCTGGACAGAGGTCATGTCACCGCCTTCCTCCTCAACCAGTATGTCTTCAGGTGGGTACTATGTTTAGGATGCAAGAATAAACAATCAGTTTACCTAATATTCTCATATGGACAGATTGATTTTTCACAAATTTATGACCATTTTTTACAAAATACTTTGGTTGGTAGTAATTGAATTTATGCCCCTTTGAGAGCATTGATTTGGAAATATATAATGTTATGGGTTACCCTGGTCACTCTGTTTCATGGGGCGCTGGGGGTAGCTTTGCGGTTAAAGCGTTTGCACTCGTCATGCCGAAGACCCAGGTTCAATATGGGTACAATGTGTGAAGCCCATATCTGGTGTCCCCCACCATGATATTGCTGGAATATTGCTGAGAGCATTGTAAAACCATACTCACTCACTCATTCACTCATAATTATGTAGGGAATATGATAGGAGCACATTCCAACCCAGTTAGAGACAAGGTCCTAGAGCTCACCTGAGTTTTAAGAACTGTTGTAAATTATTATCAGGTTGTCATGATTACTATTGAGTTTGAAAATTTGTTACATCATTTCATTTCATCAGGATGAAGTGCATGACATTCCAGTCGTGCAGACTTGCCACCCTTAGGTGTGCCCCAAACCTCTTATTTAAGGTTTTCAAGTCCTTGAATCGCCCAGATGTTTGGGGTTTTTTTGTATGTTTGTCTCATCATTCCCATGCTTGTGGCTTTTGTAAGTGGTCCAAGCCTTAACCTTGATAAGTTGGGCATTTCAAGTTGACAAAAACTGATAAAACTGAAATGCTGTTGAAGTGGCATAAACCACAATTCACTCATTCACAGCAGGGTCATAGCTGATAATGTTCCATGATCCTTTGTTCACATAATGAGGCACTTGTGTGCTTGTACTGCCAGACTCCATGCACCACACGCTGATATGGTTGGGAAAAATATTACATTCTGAAACATGGACTGCATTCTTACCATATATTGTTGAATTGGGTAACTTATATCTATTTTCTGTGTTTCTTTCAGGAAAGCAATAATTGATGGATTTAACCGCCAGATAGCCAAATACTACAGTTAACGATGTGTGTGTCTAGCTGACAGTCAAAGGACACACGTGTGAAAGTGGATGTGTGTTGATTGTCTACCTCACAGTGTTGTTCCAACAGCTGAGTTTTACAGAACATTTTATGACTTTATTGGTCACATAGTTACATATTAACAACAGAACATATATGGAACACAGAATTACAAGTGTTCCTATATTCTTTTCCAGGCAAGCTTTATATTGATTTCTTGGTGAAAATCTGAGAATTGATAAAGGAACAGTGGGATGAAGTGTACATTATATATAGAACTCACACTATGTAGCTGACCTCCACACACTTGAGAGTTAGGGGTTAATCTCATCTTTGTCTGATACAATACCGTTCTGTGGTACCACACAAAGACAGTGTTACTAAATAGTTATAGAAAATGTTCAGGAAGCTGACATCAGATAAAACCACAAAATCCTTCATCCAGGCGGTTATCATACCTATGCGGTAAAGTTTGGTCAAGGTTCATCTGTAGTAAGGGCAGGTGGGATCTTCACAAAGATTACTCCTGTACATTCTCACAGGTCTTTGCCAAATTATGCTAAAAGGTAAAGATTAAGTGTTTCATTTTTCACTCCAACATATGTTCTCTGATATTCTATGGCAAATTTATGTCATGAAGTCATTGATTTTCATGCAAAAATACTCTGTTTATATTGGTCATATTGGTCATACCTGTGAAGGTCCGGTTAGAATATTGATCTGCTGCAACCCATGCTTGTCGTAAGCTTCGACTAACGGGATCGGGTGGTCAGACACACTGACTTGGTTGTCACATGTCATTAGTTCCCAATTGGGCAGATCGATGCTCATGCTGTTGATCACTGGAGTGTTTGGTCCAGACTCAATTATTTACAGACCGCCGCCATCTAGCTGGAATATTGCTGAGTGTGGCGTAAAACGAAACTCACTCACTCATAAGGTCAGTCTGGCGCCTCAAAGACAATAACAGAATAATTTCAGTTTTCATAAACTGTTACCTACAGCATATATAACTTTTTGTCCATATATGGTGCTCATGTAGCACAGGTATAGTTGGTTCTGAGAAAAACAATCAGTATATGAACCGTATTTAGTTGCCACAAGTTTATGCATTCATACAATATGAAGACATTGTATCTGTACATCAGTATGTCAGCCAGTCAGTCATTCAATGAGAAACAAATCTTCACTGCTCAGTACATGCTTCAGCAGGAAATGCCTTGGCTACCATAAGCTTCTATTGTTCCAGAAAACCTTTAAATGCTGATACGTTGATTGTCTACATACCTGCTGATAGTGATGAAACAGCAAGCAGAGGCTTAACACATCTTTTACAGAATGACCTATTTTGAAAACAAACAAACCAACAACACTGTTTATATGTTTTGGTTTAAAGACTAAACTGAAAGGAGGAACAACAAACTGTGAAAAGAATTGACAATGGTTTTAATTTCTTTTATATATTTCCCTGGCTGTTCTGTCACTGATAAAATATAGCTACAATAGGTAAAATTCCAAATAAGATTTCAATCATATTCATAGCATCTATGGTCTCTATCCAATGCAGGTACATTATAGAGAACAAATCCATCTCAGGTAGAAGTAAATATGTGTACATGATATCATTAATGGTAAATATTTGAATTTATTTTCTCTCAAATGCCAAACAAAAATATAGATATTTTTGTCAAACCAAGATGATATTCCTGCAAGAAAATCTGGTCACTTACAAAAGAATTGTGACATGTTTCCAAGGGCGATCATTGCGGCCATGGCTGTTGTAAGTCTCTGGTGAGGCATTGGAGTGTCTAGAAGCGTAGCACTACAACTGCTTTGTTTAACGACCCTCTACTGTAAACTGTGTTTGTTGTATTCAGGAGTTGTGTTTGTTGCAAGCGCATCTGAGACAGCTCTCGGATGAAGTTCATCTCCCACGATGCTAGTCATAGCACCATAGTGTGGGATGGGCCATAGTAACTTGTGTTGTTCAAGACATCTTTACAGTATTGAACTTGTGTGTGCATGTATGATCGTGGGGATTTCTCATGTTTGTTATCCTTCAATAGCTGCTTGCTTGACCCTGTCAGTTCAGTGTGATGCATGTTGGGAATACAAGTTTTGAATCACATGCTGGACCAAGGTTGTTTTCAGGTGCACATTTTATAATTGGCATCACTTTTTTTCATGACATTACCTGACATGCCTAAGAGAGTGAATTAAACACTGATTGGTTTCTTTGCGGAGCATGGGGTCAATGTGTTGCACTTTGATGCATGAAATTCCTGATTATCTCGAACTCACCCATTCTCGATAATCTCCAGGCTGTATGTTACGATAACTTTTCAGTATACCCTGGATGCATCTACGGCTCGGCCTGATGATTTTATTACCTCCATTGGTTGGCTTTATCCAATCAGGTGTCTACGCTGGGAAGTTGAGCGTACCAATCACAATTCACTTTCGCTTTTTAAATTATCTAACCGATTAAACTTGTCAACACAATAATATATTGTTGCAGATACTCTGAAAGAAGGAGTTCTTGCATATATTTTTTTTAAGGTTCCAGACCTGTCAGTTTGTCTGTATGTTTTTCCCCCCCCAAAATCTGAGTCGCACTGCGAACAAACTTTGGCGGCTGTGACCGCTATTTTTGTTGACACTGGCAAGCTCGGTTGTAACGGTGGCTACTGATTGGCTACTATGAGCCAGCAAAGGGAGGTAATAAAATTATCAGCCCGAGCCGTAGATGCATCCAGGGAATAGTGGAGAGTTATCGTAGCGTATACCCTGGAGATTAACGAGGATGGAACTCGCCATCAGTCACCACAAATTCCTCCTATAATTATCATTTAAAATTATATCTGTCTCACTACTGGCAAACAAGGATAAGTTGGACCAGCGCAGGAATGCGTTTACGAGAAGTAGGCGGTGCCCGGCAATGAGCAAACCTGATCGCACTACACTTGATTGCGGACAACCTGGGGCCCCTTCGCTAACAATGGCAAGCGCCAGTGGGCAGCACTCATACATGCTAATACGGGTCAATTGTCGGGTTGGTGCTCAACTTATCCTTGATTGCCACTAGATGACTTGAATTCATTTGAGAGTCCAAAATACCTAAATTCAGTTCAAAATATATGAAATTGAACATCAACCCACACTGCCAAATTTTATCTCACTTCACACACAACAGGCTGACCTCAGTGTGATTGCTGCAATTGCTTCAAAGGCAGGAGGACTTCTAAATACCTGAGGACAACCTGCAATATCCAATCTAATTAACAATATGCCATACATCAGGTATTATTCATCATTATGACCCTTGGTCTTACATACCCTTTGCAGTTTCTGTTATATTTGAATTTCTCCCCATTTAAGGCTGCCAGATTATAAATCAACTGAAATATCAGTATTAACTCTGATTAGCTCACAGGTGGCCCAAACTTCTCAGATGCCATAATTCACAGTGCCAACCTATGACCATGAGTTCAAAATCCAGATTTGGTCTCATTATGTTTGTATGCGGGTCAGAACCCTACCCATAGATTGGTTTTCACGAAAGTGGTGAACATCTTTTCTTGCTTTCCTTCCACATTAGTGTATAGACGTATAACTCACTCATTCATGTATAACTCACTCACTCATTCAGTTTTATTGAACATGTGCTTCCAATAATACGGCTGAAGTTTGGGTATCTTTGTACTAACAATTGTCACATGCTTGATAGTGCTGGCAAGGAATCAAAAGCTTTAATTGCACATATTGGCAAGCATGGAATATTGATTTACCATGTGGAATTTTAGCCATATTTGTGTATATATATATATATATATATATGTGTGTGTGTGTGTTCCAGTTGTGGTGCCACATGGTGTCATCTCTGGTTAAAATCATGTCATGTTCATAGCCACCATGGAATGGTAGGAGAAAAGCCAGTCCATATCTGTGATAATCAGTCTTTAGAAGGTTGGGTTTTTTTAGAGTGTTTGAATGCGTGACCATATATCCAGCACTGGTTAAACAAACCTGCTTACCTCAGCAGTTTATTTTGTGTGAAGTTCTCCACCTGAGTATGTGTGTTGACAGTGTGATCATGTTATGTCTTAGCGATCTCAGAGCAAACAGCTGGCACTGGAGTTTAGACATTATTAAAATCACCATGATAGGTTGAAGAGGAAATTTGTTTTGGTTCTCAGGACTTTTAATACTAGTTAAGAAAGTGGTCGAGTTATTCGACCAGTATTCACATTCGGATCTTAGTGTTATGACTGTCGAGTAGTTTAACATGGACTTTAGACAGTTGTAGCACTATGATTGCTTAGTGGAAAGGCCCAGTACGAGAATGTTTGCGATATTGCTGGAACATTGCAAAAAGCAGCGTAAAACAGAACTCACTCACTTATAATGCATATGCATTTTCCTATATTATCACTCTCCTGTGGAAGATACTGCAGTGTAATATTTTTACGTCATTATTAGTGAATATTACGATAGTGTAATACTGCTAGACGTTTGATGTCATAATGGTTTACAGTTATGACGTCACAATAGTATTAGACCTTGCTTGACTTGCTGAAAGTCATCACACTGTTAGTAGGCAGTTTCTATCAATTTATGTTGGAAAGTAATAAACAGAATACTAAACTCGCTTCCTTGAAATAACATTTTTATTAACTTCGCGAAAGATTTAGTATCAAACTTGCTTTCGCTCATTTGATACCAAATCATTTTCTTGTTTAATAAAAATGGTATTACACGGAAGGTCGTTTAGTATCCTGTATATCTGACTAACATCTGTCAAGTAATCAATGTGCCATATTTCCCTGGTCAAACTTTCCTCTGTCAGCCAGTAGCAACATTTTGTGACTCTCTGGGCCATGGTGTTTTAATGACAGTACTTATTCAGGCTTTTGAGTTGATAATGCTTGAGAGATTAGGTCTGTTACAACAGCTGATGTAGCTCAATAAATGGATGATTAATCACTCTTGCTGACAGTATGGC